TAAGGTGTCTCCTCCACACTTGAACACTCTAGTGCAGATTCAACACTGACTCTGTTGTCTAGGTGTTAGGTCACAGTTCATTCTAACCAGACGGCACTTCTCTCCACGGCCACACAACAACTGACGCATTTCACAGGTTTATTGTCAATGTAACACAAGTGACACGAATCAACAGATGAACTGACTTACGCCATTCAGGCAATCTCGCCTTGGTCACGCATTGAGTCTCTAGCCATGCTCCAGACGATGGACACTGGCATCTACACGACTGGCTCGACAAACAAACCGTGTAACACAACGGATGGCCTAGACGATCATTCAATAGTGCTGCCTGTCTTGTCGTTCAGCATTAACATTCAATCGACTCTGATTCAGATCCACGTGTGCACTTCTCACTCTAGATTCACCTACACAGATTCAGCTTCACATCCTTCCAATCTGGGGCCCAGTCACCGAATGACCACCTCATTCTCAATCCCCCAGATCTCGCATTCACACGAGACTCACTCACTCTTGTCATTTCACCATATCTCCGTGAAACCTAAGCTATAAGGGACTTGCCCAATTATGCCAGTCATACCCTGACGTTATCCCTATTTATAGCATCATTACAGTTGTTGCTACACCATTTGGTAGACTGTTGTTGGCTAGTTTGGTAGATTGATTGTTGTTGCTACACCGTTTGGTAGATTGATCGTTGCTGCTACACCGTTTGGTAGGTTGATTGTTGTTGCTACACCGTTTGGAAGATTGATTTTTGTTGCTACACTGCATGTTCCCCAAATGCGGACTGAAAGTACATACTTCTATCGCAAATCTGTTCATGGCTGGACACTGTGAGCTGCGGATCTCATTTGGAGTGTTGTATTTTTTTCTATGCCCAACCTGTGAAGTATATTGCAGATATAGACAAAGGCGATTGGCCTGTTGCCACAGAACTGGAAAGTATCTTGTGCAGTGTTGAGTGTGCAGCTGCTGGTATGTTGTAATTACTGTTGTGTTCGACGAAGAACATGAATTCTAGAAGTGGGCTGTTTGTGTTGGCCCTTCTGACAGCTGCTTAAAGAAATTAATGCAGATGTAACATATTGTTGTCGTCGGAACCGCAGTCTGTTTCCATTTGTACACAAGTAACATCTAAGGGCATACAACGGGGCAACTATGGGGGAGGTACACAAGTAACATCAATGGGCATACAACGGGGCAACTATGGGGGAGGTACACAAGCAACATCTAAGGGCATACAACGGGGCAACTATGGGGGAGGTACACAAGCAACATCTAAGGGCATACAACGGGGCAACTATGGGGGAGGTACACAAGCAACATCTATAGGCATACAACGGGGCAACTATGGGGGAGGTACACAAGCAACATCTAAGGGCATACAACGGGTCAACTATGGGGGAGTTACACAAGCAACATCTATGGGCATAAAACGGGGCAACTATGGGGGAGTTACACAAGCAACATCTATAGGCATACAACGGGGCAACTATGGGGGAGTTACACAAGCAACATCTATGGGCATACAACGGGGCAACTATGGGGGAGTTACACAAGCAACATCTATGGGCATACAACGGGGCAACTATGGGGGAGGTACACAAGCAACATCTAAGGGCATACAACGGGGCAACTATGGGGGAGTTACACAAGCAACATCTAAGGGCATACAACGGGGCAACTATGGGGGAGGTACACAAGCAACATCTAAGGGCATTCAACGGGGCAACTATGGGGGAGGTACACAAGCAACATCTAAGGGCATTCAACGGGGCAACTATGGGGGAGGTACACAAGCAACATCTAAGGGCATTCAACGGGGCAACTATGGGGGAGGTACACAAGCAACATCTAAGGGCATACAACGGGGCAACTATGGCGGAGTTACACAAGCAACATCTAAGGGCATACAACGGGGCAACTATGGGGGAGGTACACAAGCAACATCTAAGGGCATTCAACGGGGCAACTATGGGGGAGGTACACAAGCAACATCTAAGGGCATACAACGGGGCAACTATGGGGGAGTTACACAAGCAACATCTATGGGCATACAACGGGGCAACTATGGGGGAGGTACACAAGCAACATCTAAGGGCATTCAAAGGGGCAACTATGGGGGAGGTACACAAGCAACATCTAAGGGCGTACAACGGGGCAACTATGGGGGAGTTACACAAGCAACATCTATGGGCATACAACGGGGCAACTATGGGGGAGGTACACAAGCAACATCTAAGGGCATACAACGGGGCAACTATGGGGGAGGTACACAAGCAACATCTATGGGCATACAACGGGGCAACTATGGGGGAGTTACACAAGCAACATCTATAGGCATACAACGGGGCAACTATGGGGGAGTTACACAAGCAACATCTATGGGCATACAACGGGGCAACTATGGGGGAGGTACACAAGCAACATCTAAGGGCATACAACGGGGCAACTATGGGGAAGGTACACAAGCAACATCTATGGGCATACAACGGGGCAACTATGGGGGAGGTACACAAGCAACATCTAAGGGCATACAACGGGGCAAACTATGGGGGAGGTACACAAGCAACATCTATGGGCATACAACGGGGCAACTATGGGGGAGGTACACAAGCAACATCTAAGGGCATACAACGGGGCAACTATGGGGGAGGTACACAAGCAACATCTAAGGGCATACAACGGGGCAACTATGGGGGAGGTACACAAGCAACATCTATGGGCATACAACGGGGCAACTATGGGGGAGGTACACAAGCAACATCTAAGGGCATACAACGGGGCAACTATGGGAAGGTACACGAGCAACATCTATGGGCATACAACGGGGCAACTATGGGGGAGGTACACAAGCAACATCTAAGGGCATACAACGGGGCAACTATGGGGGATGTACACGAGCAACATCAATGGGCATACAACGGGGCAACTATGGGGGAGGTACACAAGCAGCATCTAAGGGCATACAACGGGGCAACTATGGGGGAGGTACACGAGCAACATCAATGGGCATACAACGGGGCAACTATGGGGGAGGTACACGAGCAACATCTATGGGCATACAACGGGGCAACTATGGGGGAGGTACACGAGCAACATCTATGGGCATACAACGGGGCAACTATGGGGGAGGTACACAAGCAACATCTAAGGGCATACAACGGGGCAACTATGGGGGAGGTACACAAGCAACATCTAAGGGCATACAACGGGGCAACTATGGGGGAGGTACACAAGCAATATCTAAGGGCAAACAACGGGGCAACTATGGGGGAGGTACACAAGCAACATCTAAGGGCATACAACGGGGCAACTATGGGGGAGGTACACAAGCAACATCTAAGGGCAAACAACGGGGCAACTATGGGGGAGGTACACAAGCAACATCTAAGGGCATACAACGGGGCAACTATGGGGGAGGTACACAAGCAACATCTAAGGGCAAACAATGGGGCAACTATGGGGGAGGTACACAAGCAACATCTAAGGGCATACAACGGTGCAACTATGGGGGAGGTACACGAGCAACATCTAAGGGCATACAACGGGGCAACTATGGGGGAGGTACACAAGCAACATCTAAGGGCATACAACGGGGCAACTATGGGGGAGTTACACAAGCAACATCTATGGGAATACAACGGGGCAACTATGGGGGAGGTACACAAGCAACATCTAAGGGCATACAACGGGGCAACTATGGGGGAGGTACACGAGTAACATCAATGGGCATACAACGGGGCAACTATGGGGGAGTAACACAAGCAACATCTAAGGGCATACAACGGGGCAACTATGGGGGAGTTACACAAGCAACATCTAAGGGCATACAACGGGGCAACTATGGGGGAGTTACACAAGCAACATCTAAGGGCATACAACGGGGCAACTATGGGGGAGGTACACAAGCAACATCTAAGGGCAAACAACGGGGCAACTATGGGGGAGGTACACAAGCAACATCTAAGGGCATACAACGGGGCAACTATGGGGGAGGTACACAAGCAACATCTAAGGGCATACAACGGGGCAACTATGGGGGAGGTACACAAGCAACATCTATGGGCATACAACGGGGCAACTATGGGGGAGTTACACAAGCAACATCTAAGGGCATACAACGGGGCAACTATGGGGGAGGTACACAAGCAACATCTATGGGCATACAACGGGGCAACTATGGGGGAGTTACACAAGCAACATCTAAGGGCATACAACGGGGCAACTATGGGGGAGGTACACAAGCAACATCTAAGGGCATACAACGGGGCAACTATGGGGGAGGTACACAAGCAACATCTAAGGGCATACAACGGGGCAACTATGGGGGAGTTACACAAGCAACATCTAAGGGCATACAACGGGGCAACTATGGGGGAGGTACACAAGCAACATCTAAGGGCAAACAACGGGGCAACTATGGGGGAGGTACACAAGCAACATCTAAGGGCATACAACGGGGCAACTATGGGGGAGGTACACAAGCAACATCTAAGGCATACAACGGGGCAACTATGGGGGAGGTACACAAGCAACATCTATGGGCATACAACGGGGCAACTATGGGGGAGTTACACAAGCAACATCTAAGGGCATACAACGGGGCAACTATAGGGGAGGTACACGAGCAACATCTAAGGGCATACAACGGGGCAACTATGGGGGAGGTACACAAGCAACATCTAAGGGCATACAACGGGGCAACTATGGGGGAGGTACACAAGCAACATCTAAGGGCATACAACGGGGCAACTATGGGGGAGACGATCTGTTGTGAAGCTGAAGATGTCTTTAGTTGATTAACTAGTCAACTAATTCACAGTTATAAGTCGGATCATTTGTTGTAATCAGCACAAGAGTTTGTGAATTTAATGTTTATAAGTAACAAAGCTACTTCTGTTCTCCCGCCCATTAACATTCATTAGCACTCGTCATTCTCCCGTCTGCTGTCCTCCACTGCACGTCCCCTGCCGCCACGCCCTGTGCCCCCACTACTACCCAATGATTGGTGATGCTGTTGTGTTGTCTGGGCGTTTGTTGCCACATGGCGGGAGGACGTTTGTTAGGAAGTCGCAGGTCTGGATGGCTTCGTTGAACACCAGACCTGTGGAAGAGGGATATATTTTAGTGTGTGTATGTCTCTGTGTGTGTGTGTGTGTGTGTGTGTGTGTGTGTAGGTATGTCATTACCATAGACATTGATCAGATATTGATTTAGATATGAGGTAAGCATAGACATCAGTAGTAAATATACATATATATAATATATATATATATATATATATATATATATATATATATATATAGAGAGAGAGAGAGAGAGAGAGAGAGAGAGAGAGAGAGAGAGAGAGAGAGAGAGAGAGAGAGAGAGAGAAAGAGAGAGAAAGAGAGAGCGAGAGAGTTAGTTAAGTTAGTTGCGCATCCTTTTCATGACGTTGCAGAACGAACTGTACAATTTTTTGGCTGTTGTGCTTTTAAGGGCAAATTTTACGTTTAGTAACTGACTACTTTTGAGATGTCAATATTGACATCTTAAAAGATCTGAACATCAAGGAAAATTGGCTAATAAACATTATCCTTTTTCGAAAGCTGAAATATTTTGGTCATATCAAGCGCCAAAACGGATTGGAAAAAATTATAGTAGAAGGCATGGTACCAGGATGGAGGAGCAGGGGCCGACCGACACGAAGATGGGCACAGGATATAAGTGACTCCTTGAGTGTGAAAGTTCATGAGGCAGGAGAACTGGCAAGAGACCGAGTTTCTTACAGGCAGACTGTGATGAGAGAGACGTTCTGCAAAGGACCTGCTACATGATGATGAGTTGACTACTACCACTGAACGTTCAGCTCTTTATACCACTGTCGAAAACGACGCCGGCGGAAAATAGCCTGCAGCTGGGATATATTTCAATAGTGGTAAGTTGGACGTAATGTGCTTCACAATTCAAGCAACTCAAAATACAAACGAAACTTTGCCTCGGAACTTGATATAGATGAAACTATGCCACGGTGTCAAACTGTCCTGCATCTTCTCTCCCCCCCCCCCCCCTTTGCCCCTCCAGTGTTCCCATGGTCACGATGTAATCCAGTGTTCCCCTTCTCATGATATAATCAACACATTTAGGTTGTCTCCTCTAAGTTAGTCGGCTCTGTGGCTAAGTCGATGCGAACGCTTCGTAATGCCGGGGTGCCGGGTTCGAGACCAGCTGCGGGCCATGCGCCTTGCGTTGGTTTCGACAGTGGTATCAGGGGGCCGACGTCTAGTAAGCAATGGCAAACTACTGGACGTGGATTTGCCTGGAAAAACTACACAACAGCCAAGGGCTGCTGGGGCTGGTTCTGCAAAGTCCTGTAAAGGATTCGCAACTAGCTTAACCTAACCTCTAAGTTGAGTTGAGTTGAACAAAGAAATGACATCACAGCACTCGCTCCGTCCTCATCTTTTGTTGTCTCCTTTGGATGTGGGCAATCAGTTCTGTTCCCGAGTCGTTTCTTTCAAGAGATTTTCATCACTATTTTTGATCTGTCCAAGGTTTTCCTATGAGTCCTCTACAAAACACTACCACGGCTTCCAAATAATGTGTGTTCTAGTCGTCGAACTGTCCATGATTCACTTCTGTAGATCAGGATAGGATTTATACCATCAGACTGCTGGAGACAAACAAAGATGGCCGTCATGGTTCAGCAGCTTGTCCATGATCGACACCTCAAGGAGAACAACCAAACATGAGCAAATGGCAGACACTCCGTTTAGCCGCATAGCTGTTATATTAATGAGCCAGCCCTCCCCCTTCCACCCATAGTCCACCCACCCACCCCCACACACACGCACGCGCATGCACTCACACTCGCACACACGCACACACACGCGCACACTCACATACACACACGCACACATAAGCACACGCACACATACGCGCACACACACATACACACACTGGGGTATTGCAATGGGTGGATCTGGAATGTGACCAAACCATCTCAGCATCCGTGCAAGTACTTGTGAGAAAGAAATTGAACATGTAAGTATTAAAAAATATATCTTACTTCCTGCACAATAAAACTGGCCGACGTCTTGTCCCCCGTAGCACCGGCAATAGGACTTGCAATTATCAAACTGCGAACAGAAAATGTTGCGCTCTCCGTTGAATATAAGAAATGTTCGTTATTTTTTCGTACAAGATAAAGACTCGAAGTTCAGTTGCTTCACTGCTCAAATGACACACAATGTCTGATACACGGTTGAAGTTAAATACTGGACACTGGAGAGTACGTGCGTGAGCGTGTCTGTGTGTGTATTCATGCGCGCCTGTTTATCTCAAGTACTTCAGAGGAAGAGTCATACACACACACACATATATAAATATATATATATATATCACCATAACTCCATAATCCCAGTACCTGTTGCAGTGTTGATGGATCTAAAACGTTAAGGATTTAGCACCATATGCCGTATTTACCAGTGGCCTGAAAGGAATAGCGTGTTGAAC